GAAATCTCTTCTAAGTATGTTGATGCAGCTCTCGGACCAAGGATGCCCTCCTTGAAACTGGCCATCACCCATGGATGTGAGAATCATCATTAGTGATACTAACTGGAGCCATGAAAGTCAATGTCATTGCCTAGGGAGAGTATATAGAATAAAGAGAGAATCATATAAAGAAAAGATTGAGAAAGACTGGTTAGTGTTTAAGGGGAAGCAGAAGATGAGTATTCCACAAACACTAAAGCAGTAAACGGAGAGATAAGAAGAAAACCAGAATATGTTAGATCAAGGAACTTGAAAGGCAGTACAAGAAAGAGGGTTAGGTTGATAGTCTCCAATGCTGCTAGACAGAATTTTCTGAGTTTAGTAACAGTAAGTTCATGCAGTGAAAACATCTGAAGTAGATAAACTGAGACATGATGAGGTTTACAGAAGGATCGTTTAGCATACTTAAAAAGTGTTTAACTATGCTAAAATGCTCATTGGAAAAAGCCAGTAAAAGAAAAGGTTGTCAATACAAGAAAGATGAAGATAATTCATATTATAAGGTCTTTAACAGGATTAGCGTTAAGTGAAAGGAAACGTATTTCTCCATTGTTGCAAGAGAAGATGTTGTGTAGATGCAGCTAAGTGTTTAGGTTTGGTGTTGGGAAGTTGAGATTGCAATAAACCAATTGTTTTGTCTCCCTTTGTGAAGTAAGGAATTAGGCCATTTGCTGAGAGTAAGCATTTAGATGAGTTTGAATGTTTGAGGAGATTGAGGTAATACAGAAAATGGTAAAGAGATGTCTTAAAAAGCTTGTGTGAAATTCCAGGCCACTTTGAGAACCCCATTGAGGTTGGTGATCAAGAATTGGAGTAGTATCATTTCTCCAGGTTGTATAATTTTCTTTAGTAATTATGAAAAATGAGGCATGGAGATGTAACATAATTACCCAGAGTTAGACATCTAATAAGTGACACAGTTGAAAATCAAACATAAGTCTGTCTGGCTCCAGGGCACTATAAAATATGAGGTACCAGTAGTGTCCAATCATTGCAACTGGTGGAGTGTTTTCTCACGTCAGGCTCAAAATGGACATTGGAGTTTCCTGCCAAAAGCCAAGGCTAGATAACACTCCCACCTGATGCTAACAGAGCTAATCCAGGTTAGCTTACATCAGAGACATAAAGCCAAGAACCATGGTCTACAGAGAAGCACCCTTTCTATGGCAATCAGGAGCTGCTATTTAATATTTTGAAGAGTATGCATGGGGAAAACTATATTATTTTTTATATTTGATGATAAAGTTGACCAAGAATGTATATTTAATAGTTTTTATACTGAGCATTTAGACATAGAGTGATTGAAGCATATGCTTCAGGTAGTTGTAAAAATAATCACTTTGACTCAGATAAAAATGGGGTACAGCAAGCAACAAGGACATAGAGGAGAGGCCTGAAAAAGGGCAATAGGAATCAAACCTAAGAGACACACATGTCCAGTAGCTATCCATGGATACAGTTTTCACTAGTTTCTTAGTGAGTGGGGAAGGGACTATAAGGATCACACTTAATGTTATTTGTGGATTGCATATTTGTAAGTGTGTGTTTATGTGTATGTGCTTGAGATAATTGTTTAGAATGTTCACTTGTTATTTCACTGTGTATAGGTTCAGTCATTTAAAAATATTTTCCTTTTTGTTTTTATAAGGTTTTTGAATAAAGCCTTTTTTGATATTTTCATACCTAAATGATTAGACAATGTTAGACTTCAATCAATAAATGTGGTCAGGATATCTTATGGGTCTATAGCATCTTTATTCAGAGTTAAAAAGTCGAACTAGCAAAATATTTACTGAAATATGATACAAAGTTTAAAAAAGCCTAACATATAAAGATCTCTCACAAATTGATAAGAAACATAGTAACAGAAATTAAGTCTCACTGAGTGTCATATGATGGTGGAATTGTCCAAGCAATGAATAAATTACTTAAAAAAATGACCATATCAAGCAAAAGCAAACTGAAATATATACTAGAAAATTTTATTAAATGTTGATAAGTATAATACATTTGTCCATCAAATTAATATAAATTGGAATATTATAATCAGTAATTTGCAGTAACTCTTTTATATTACAATATTGCTGTTGTTAGTAGAAATTTTTTTATATTGTTTACTGAGAACAGCATGGAAAAAAAAAGTAAATAGAAATTTATACTTTTTTTCTGATAAATTCTACCTTGAGAAATATTTAGAATTATAGTAAAAGATTTACCTACTGAGCTGTACTAGCACAATAGCTGAGGCATATTTCCATGCAAAGGCTGCTAGGGACACTCCCTGTAATAAAAACCACATGGATGGACCATTGTCATTTTCTCTGGCTCAACTTACTAACCATGAAACGCCCTAGGTAAACTTGCAAATGCCTGAGATCTGAAAAGAGCTCCCTTACAAGATAGGTTGTGCTCCTCAAAAGAGTTATTACATTCTGAGGAAAAGGCACTCAAATTGAAGTTGGTAGCTGCCCAATGCCCTTCCTCTTCTCGGAAGCATCATCTGTCTAAGCAGCATAATCCAAGAGGGAACTTTTCTACTCATGTTTTAAAGATACAATCAAAATACTGCTTGATTTTTAATTATAAGCAAAAGAAATCCACCTATAGATTTAAGCAGAAAGTTGTTGAGTAGGATATTGCATAGAGGTTTAGAGAACTAAGTTAAAAAACCTAAAGGAATAATAAAGGCTGGGTAGCTCCCAGTAATCCAGCCAAATCCTACACAGCAAGAGTCTGATGTGGATACTGAATCCTGGGTGTTTCTGCCTCCACAAATACTGCCCTTGAAAAATGTATATTGCTGCTGCAGTTACTCTATCACACAAATCGATTTCCCATGATTTATTCTTAAAAGTATTATTTGTTTCCATTCAAGGTTTGGGATTGGTGCAGGCAGTGGATGAAGTTCACATGTCTATATCCTAGCAACAGAAGAGGTGTGAGTCATAAGTATCTGACTTTTGGTTTCAAATGATGGGAAGTGGGTTCTGCCTCCCACTAAGATTTATATGTAGGGAATGTGCCAAAGTGTAACCAATTTGTATTATTTTTTAAGACAAAACCTATTGAACAAAAGGCAAATTAGAAATACACACTGAGGCCAGGCAAGGTGGCTCACACGGGTAATCCCAGCACTTTGGGAGGTTGAGATGGGTGGATCACCTGAGGTCAGGAGTTTAAAACCACCCTGGCCAACATGGTTAAACCCTGTCTTTAGTAAAAATACAAGAAATAGCTGGGCATGGTGGCTGGTGCCTGTAATCCCACCTACTCAAAAGGCTGAGGCAGGAAATCTTTTGAGCTCTAGAGGCGGAGATTGTAGTGAACCAAGATCACACCATTGCACTCCAGCCTGGGTGACAGGGAGAAACTCTGTTTCAAAAAAAAACCAATCAACCAAACATATTGAAAAATGTTATTAAATTAGCAAACATCCAGAATCTGCCATCAAATGGAAGGAGAAAGAAGAAGAGGAAGGTAGTAAATTTTTGCTAATTTATTTTTCATTCAGATAAATAAAAAATATTATTTCACATAAATGGAAAATGATATGACAGCAACAAGAAAAATAATACATAATATGAAATATGCTAGGAAAGAAACAAAACAAAATCTTGTAGAATGGGTGAAAATATGGCGGGGTGCTATGGCTCATGCCTGTAATCCCAGCAGTTTGGGAGGCCGAAGTGGGCAGATCACAGGTCAGGAGATTGAGACCATCCTGGCCAACATGGTGAAACCCCCATATCTACTAAAAATACAAAAATTAGCTGGGCATGGTGAGGTGTGCCTGTAGTCTCAGCTACTCGGGAGGCTGAGGCAGGAAAATCTCTTGAACACGAGAAGCAGAGGGTGCAGTGAACCAGATCATGCCACTGCACTCCAGATTGGCAATAGCAAGACTCCGCCTCAAAAATAAATAAATAAATAAATAAATAAAAGAATGGCTGAAAACACTAAATTAAAAGGAATATAAACTATAATTAAGTGGGTTCTGGAATGTCTCTATGCTGGTTTCAAAACAAATTCTACAACTTACTAGCTATGAGGCCTTGGGAAAGTTATTTAAAGATTTTCTGCTTCAGTTTTTTTGCATTTATAAAATTGGTATGCAAAACACATTAAAGGAAAGCTGACTCAGCAGAAAATGTGTAAATGTAAATATATTCCTAAACAAACTAGAAATAATGAAAATTTAAAAAAATTAAGCCTTTAAGAAGTCAAGAACAGGAAAATAAATCTAAATTTTATTTAGAAAGAAAGAAATTAATTAAGATATATACAGACATTAATAAACCAGAAAATGTAAAATGTTAAAATAATTCACTTTTTAAGTAAAAGGGACTGTCTATTTAGAAAAGAAAAAACAAATATGAAATAGGTACATTTTTAAAATTTAATTAAAAAAACTGTTCTGGTGAAATGTTGAAAATGCATACACAGAAGAATGTAGTCACAGGTAAACTAATAAAACAAAATTTGCACATATGCTGAAAAGGGCTAATTTCTTTAATATTCAAAGAGATATTTAGAAATCAACAAAAATCCTTGAAAATTCCAATGAAAAACTGGTAGAAACCACGAATGTACAGTTTCCAAAGGAAATAAAAGACAAAGATTCGAGTAATACCTTAGTAAGACTATTTCATTTCCGGCAGAGTGGGCTACATATTATAGAAATCTGGATACCAGTATAGAAAGTGCCGATAAAAAAAGCCAATATTGGAGCCTCTATTCTATGAGAAGTGTGAATAGATAATGATAAGACAATTCATAATGGAAATCTTTGAACTTCAGGGAGATGATGTTACTCTACAATGCATATGTTTAACCAAACTAGGCAATAAACAATACGTACACTCATAATTTAAGAAACTGGGTGAAATAGACTAAATGAAAGGGGCAAAGTCAAATTAAATATAAATACCAGAAATATATAAGGAGCTTTTCTGTCTTTGTAGGCTTCGTATCATGGAACGGATGTGAAAGCAGTTATTAACATGTATCGCAGACTAATCCACCGTGTTCGATATCGACATGGTCTTTGGAGGACAAGACAAATTGTCAACTTAGCAGAGCTAGAGGAATGGATGGATCGAAAAAAATGTAAGTGATGCAGATACTTCTGGTTTGAATTTAAGCTTGGAGTTAATTTAACCATTGAAATTTTACATATAATTATCTGTAGAAAGCAAAGGTAGATTATATTTTATATTCTGTAAACAATTTGCATTTTAAGTTAGCATATTGTATATTTGAATTAATTTATTAGAATTCTCTGCAAGTAACAGAAAACTCATTCTAGCTATCTAAAGCAAAGAGGAAATTTAATGAGAGAGTGTTGCAAAGATAGTTAAAGAATCAGATTTCAGACTGAGTATGAAACACAATTGCTTCAGAGATCTAGGCAGCAGGAAATAAGGGACAATCTCGATTCCCCTCTGGGGGATAGATAAGCCCTACCACTTAAAGACTCTTTGTTCCTATGCTTTAAATTCATATTCCAGGGAGACAGCAACTGATCCTTATAGCTTGAGTCAAAAATCCAACACTTTGCAGTGGGAGGGTAAGGAATCTTGCTTGAGAATTGCACAGACACTGTGTTTATTGGAGGAGGGGTAGCTGCACAAAGGAAAATTAAGTATTTATACCAGGAGAATAGTTAATGGACACTGAGCATACTAAACAACATATTGCTTATTAATATTAGAATTCTACTCACAGAACAAATTCTCCAATTTATATCTTAATTTTCAGAAATCCCAGTTTAGATTTATATTGAATGAATTCAGTATTGCTTAGGATTAGGATAGATTATTAGGGCTAGTTTCTTGACTAAAAAAATGATACAAGTGAATTATATTTAAAAGGAATCATTTTCTTACTGCTTTATAAGGTAAAAATGTGAAAAAAATACAGTGTTTATTTTACATTTAAGACTGTAAGTTCCATGAAGGCAGGGAACTTACAGATGGAAAGACAGGAAGAAGAAAGAACAAGAAAGCAAGAAAAAGCAAGAGAGGTGGAGAAAGAGAAGATCCTTCTTCCATTAGGAAGCTACTTAGACTCCTTTTACTTACAGAACCGAGAGAGAGACAGAGAGAGGGAGAGAGATAGTAAGAGAGACATATATTTATCAGTAAATACTCACTATCTAGAAAATGCCTGGTTTATAAGAAGGTCTAAAAAATATTTGTTAAAATGATATTTTTCATTGTTTATTAGTTATGATAAAATTATGTGCCAAAAGCTATTTACAGATAACCAGAACTCTTTGAGTTAGAATAATTTCTTTTCTGTGGCTAGAGGTAGAGGGAGGAAGAAGTCAGAGAGAGAGAAGAAAGAGAGCACAATTGTTGTATATAAGTCAGAGGTTGCTAGATCAATTTACCCAGTCAAGCCCAACAGCTTGTTTCCAGAGAAAAGAGCAGAAAGAGCAAAGTGTTGGAGAGATGGAAAGACAGGAAGAAAGAACAAAAAAGCAAGAGAGAGAGAAAGGCAGAGAGAGAGAAGATCCTTCTCCAATTAGTAAGCTACTTAGACTCCTTTTACTTATAGAAGCGAGAGAGAGAGAGAGACAGAGAGAGAGAGAGAGAGAGAGAGAGAGAGAGAGAGAGATAGTGTGTCAGATTTTAAGACTTTTGCCATAAAATCTCCATACCACTAGTACAAAATTCAGGAAGATCTTAGTACTTTTTACTATCCATTAGTACTTTTTAATGGATAGTAGTTTATATTACATAATCTAATATGAATATGCCAATTTTATACTTTAATTTTAAGCTACTGACTTCCAAATCACATATTCTTTTCAAAATGCTCCTACTATTTTACTCAGTCTTCTCTTCATACCTCAAACTATCACTAAATTCATTTTTATTCTTATAGAATGTTGCTTATTTTTCATAGCTTTATTTTTCTTTCCATCACTTCTCCTTCTCAATTTGTAACTGCAGATTACAATATTTTTGCATTCTAAAATATCCCTTCAGTTTGAAAAAAATAGATACTGTGATTTCTGTTTCCAGCCTGAACTCTGCTGCTTTCTAGCTGAGAAGGTTTTTCAGTAAACTCTTGTAGAAAGTGAGGGATAAGCCAAGTAGATTATGGGGAAAGAAGGTTCTAAGCAGAGGGAGCAGCAAGCCCAAAGGTCTTAATTTGGAGGCAGCTAGTCTTAGAGGAAGCCAGGAGACTAATATTACTGGAATAAAGTTTTGAGTTGAGAGCAGAGTAAAATGAAATTGGAAGGGTAGTGGGAGTGCAGGTTGTGTCAAGCTTTATAGACCATTGCATTTTACCTTGAGAGAACTGGGAAGCCACTGGAGGACTGGGAACAGACTATGAAGCAACTTGTGTTGCAGATATCACTCTGGTAATTTTGTTGAGAATAGGCTAACATGAGGCCAAAACAGAATAAAGGAGTCCAATTAGGACAGATAGTGCTCTAATATAGGAGCTGAAGAGTAGAACAGAATTTGGTAAATGAATAATTTAAAGAATTACCAACCAAAACATCCATTTACTACATTGAGGGGTAAAGTAACTCAACAGAGACATAATTTGCAAGTTCTAATTTATCTTCATGTTACTTAGAAAATTTCTTTCATCCTTTCTTTATCCATGTGTTGACAGCTAATTGGTTGATGATACTTGGCAGATATCTATACACATTTTAAAGTATCTTTCAATAATCAGAAAATTTTATTAATTTTCATGATTTAAATTTTATATTTACCCTAAATATATCATCCTTGAATACTAATTATCCTAGCATGTTGCTGAAACTTTGCTCATAGGGCATAATACACAGGTTAAGGGCACTGTTCACAATAAATACTGTTTCAAAGACATAATATTAATAGGCACATCAATATTATCTTGTGAGAAACATATGAAACTGATTAATTCAAGGAGAAACTAATAAAGCTCTATATACTTTTTCAAGGAGAAATAAATTTACTTAATCACAAAAGTAAAAGATGACATTCTTTTTGTTTTAGTTTAGAATCAGACCCTGAGACAAGAATTCAAGTACAACTAATTTTTTGGGGAGTTAATCCTAGGCAATACTGTTCATCAAATGGAGAAAGGAGACAGGGAAAGGAGTCAAAAGAGAGTCCAGTCAGTATCAAGCAAATTACTATGTGGACTACTAATGCCTAATTCCTCTAGGGAACTAAGAAAAAACAGTGTAAACAACTTGCCTTTAGTGCTGTGTCTATATCAACCAGCTCCCCTGAGTCAGTGGTTGAGGCCCACTCCAAAGGGGGTCTTAGTTTCCTTTGTGTCTGGCTTGCTGCACAGGTGGGCTGAGTAAATGCCTGCAGCCAGAGGGAGCCCTTAGGCAATGGAATGCGGATGCTGGCAATTGAAAGTCAAATTAGCATGCCCAGAAGTAAGGGACATGGAGATATAGATGGGGCACTGAAAGAACCGGATCTAGTTTGCTTGTTTCAAAAGAGACAAACAGTCATAAATATACTAAATATAAATTTTCATTTATTTTACTGCTGTGTTTCAAGATCTCAAATAGCTATTCATATTTAGACAGTCATTAAATATGTCTTGAATTTGTTGACATCTCATGACTATCTCCTTCAACAAAATGAAGGAATGAATGTAAAAACTGAATCCATGTGGTTGTGTGCCAGGATGATAAAACTTTTGTTAGAAACCACCCTGGTACCCTTTGTCATTGGCAGCAAGAGCTAAACCTGTGAACAGTTCCTGACATCCTGTAAATGCTGACTTATTCAATCAGCTTCATGGGGTTAAATGTAACACTTCAAAGTAGACACTCAGTGTCACTTTTTCGAAAAAAAAAAAAAATTATTTATGGAAAACTACACTTACAAACTATATGCATCAGTTCTCTTTCTCATTGTCTAACTCCTTTCTAATGTCAAGTATGGGAGATGAGTGATAGGCCACCCAACTGAGTGGTTTTCTGTGGTAGTTTTCTTAAGCCAGGATGCCAAAGTACCTTAAATGTGAAAGTAGGGATCCAAGATGGCCAAATAGGAACAGCTCTAGATTGCAGTTCCCAGTGAAAACACAGAGGATTAGTGATCACCACATTTCCAAATGAATTTATACTGCCCACGGACCAGGAGATTCCCAGGCAGAAAAGTGCCACAAGTCTCCAGCGTGGCTATTTTAGCCAGGGCAGTGGGTTTCCACACAAAAACTGACACAAATCCAGGTGCTGTTTCAACTGGTGACTGGAATGCCTGGGAGACAGAGTCACTCATTCAACTGAAAAAAAGGGGGCTGAAACAGGGAGGTCCCACCCTCGCCAAGACCAGCAATCTGAAATGCTCTGGATTGAGAGTTTCACAGCAAGCATAGCTGGACCCAGGACTCTCTGGCTCTGTTGGGGGAACGACATTGGCCATTACCAAGGCAGTCAACCACTACCAAGGCAGTCTGCCACTACCAAGGCAATCCACCATTACCGTGGCAGTCTGCCATTACAGAGACAGTCTGCCATTATTGAGACAGAATGCCATTACCAAGGCACTTCTGAGTATACCCCTATAAACAAAACTGCAAGGAAGTTCACAAAGCAGCTGGGCAAAGCTCACGGGAGCTCAGCACCACCTCTGCTGGCAGACTGTGACTAGGCTACCTCCTTGCTGGGCAGGGCATCTCTGAAAAAAGATAGCAGAATGTCAGGAACTTATAAATAAAACCCCACCTTCCTCGGACAGAGCACCTTGGAAAAATGAGGCGGATATGAGTTCTGCTGCAGCAGACTTAAATGTACCTGCCCAGCAGCTCTGAATAAAACAATGGAGACAGAATCTCCCCAAGCAGCCCCTGACCCCCGTATAACCCAAGAGACACCTCATAAAGGAAAGCTCAGACTGACATCTGGTGAGTATCTTTCTGAGGCAAAGATAACAGAAGAAGAAACTGGCAACAACCCTTACTGTTCTGCAGCTGCTGCAGGTGATCCCCAGGCAAGCAGGGTCTGGAGGGGACCTCCAGCAGTCCTACAACAGTGGGGGCCTGACTGTTAGAAGGAAAACTAAGAAACAGAAAGAAATAACTTCATCAGCAACAAAAAGGACATCCACTCAGAGACCTCATCTGAAAGCCACCAA